GTTTTATCACTCCTGATTTCAAAATTACTGCAGAGCTACAGTAATAAAAACAACATGGTAATGACATAAAATAGACACACTGACCAACGGAATTGAATCAAAGACCCAAACATAAATCTACATACCTATGGACACCTGATTTTTGACAAAGAAGATAGAAATATACACTGAAGAAAAGACAGCATCTTCAACAAATGGTGCTAGGTAGTCAAGCTGGGTGGTTGCATGTAGAAGAATGCAAATAGATCCATATTTATCACCCAGAACAAAACTCAACTGCAAAATCAAGGACATTACAGTAACATCAGATACTCTGAATCTGATAGAAGAGAAAGTAGGGAATAGACTTGAACTCATTATCACAGGAATGAACTTTCTGATCAGGACATACTGTTGACAGTGAGATCAACAATTAATAATAGATACCTCATGAAACTGAATAGTTTCTATATGGCAAAGGACACCATCATTTGGACAAAGTAGCAGGCTACACATCTAATAAAGGGCTACTATCTATAAAATAAAGAACTAAAACAACTGGACATCAAGAAAACATTCCAATATAAAAATGGGTACAGAACTGTCTTAGAGTTCCTCTTGCTGTGAAGAGACACCATGACCACAGCAACTCTCATGAAGGAAAACATTTAATTGGGGCTGGCTAAGAGTCAGAGGTTTAGTCTATTATCATGATGGTGAGAAGCATGGCAGCACACAGTCAGACATCCTGCTAGGTAAGAAGCAGAGAGTTCTATATCTACATCAGCAGGAAGAGAGAGGAAGTCACAGTGCCTGGCTTGAGATTCTGAAACCTCAAAGCCAACCCCCAATGACACACTTCCTCCACAAGGCCACACTTCCAAATAGTGCCACTCCCTGCAAGCCTATGGAGGCCATTTTCATTCAAACTAAGCAGAGTTCTCAAAAGATGAAACGTAGTGGCCAAGAAATACTTAAAGTAATGTTCGACATCTGTAGCCATCAGAGAAATGCAAACTAACACTATTTTGACATTTTATCTTACCCCAGTCAGAATGGCCAAGATAAATAAAACAAATGATAGTTCATGCTGGTAAGTCTTTGGGGAAAAGAGAACACTTATTCATTGCTAGTAAGAATACCAGTTTGTACAAGCATTATGGAAATCAGTGTGGAGTTCCTTAAAAAGTTGAAAATCAATCTTCCACAACATCCAACAATACCATTCAAGCATATCCCTAAAAGTCTCTGTATCCTATTTCTGAGAGACTTGAACATCAATGTTCATTGTTGCTATACTCGGAATAGCCAGACATTGAAAATGCCTAGATGTCCATCAAATGACAACAAATATAATGCATTAAACAATAGAATATTATTTAGCTGTTAAGAAAAATGAAATTTGCAAATAAATGGATGTGGGTAGAAACAATCTTCCAGAGTAAGATTACCCAGACACCCCAAAACATAAATTACATTCTTTCATATAGAGATGTTAGCTTTTTAACCTTTAGATATGTTATTTCAATCCAAATAACCACAGATGTTAGGTGCCTAGTAAGGCAGTGGGGAGGAACAGAAGTAGATCTTCCAGTGAAGGAGACATGGAATATAGAGAAACTAGAAAAGAAAGACTGAGTGGAGAGTAGGATGGGAGAGCAGGGTAAAGAAAGGAATATGGGGAAGGATAACTCACAATAAAGAAACCTACAACCATAGGAGCTTCCTAAAATAGATATGTGAATGGAAAAAAATTCAAATGGAGTTATCTTATAATGGAGAAGACAACTGTCCTAACTAGACATTTTGTGTCACTAAGTAAAACTTCCCATACCAGTAATCTTGTTGAGCCAAATCTACTGGCCAAAGTGGTTTCATGAAACCCACCCAACTCCCTCCACCACAGGCTACTACAAGGTCTACTGGTTGCTCTCCACAACCTGATGGTAAGGCTGAAGACAACATTTAAGTCACAGAACATGGAGAAGTTGAGGTGTTACCCAACTAGAAGCTCATCCCTACTGACTAGTACTCATGGTAACAAAAGAAACTCTGCATACCACCAAAGAAGAAAAGCAATTGCCAGGATCACTGACTATAATAGCAACAAGCCTGCAACATATACTCATACAACCATGTATGAATGTTAAGAGAGTAACCAACAATTTTTAATTGAGTTTAAGACCCACTCAGCAGATGGAACCCACACTTGAGATGGATAGGTCATGGGCCCAAGGGAAATCCTACTACTATTATTCTGATAAAGGAACATAACATAAAATGTCTCTAAATGACATACTGCTATGCCCACAGATGCTTTTCCTTGCAGTAGACAGTAATTAACGAAGAGATCTACAACTGGACAGTGTGCCTAGCGTGAGAGACTTTGGAGCACTCCGTCCTAAATGGGATATACTCATCAAACCCCTACCCTCAATTCTCAAGGACCTATGCAGAAGGGGAGGTGGAAAGACTGTAAGAGACAAAGTATGTGACCCCAAAGAAATAGTGTCTTGCAGGCACAACAGGCCCGAATGACATATGAACTCAAAGAGACTATGTCAACACAAACAAGCCCTGCAAAGATTCAAGTCAGTCAAGAAGATATAAAATCCCACAACTAACCAGGAAACTATTTACACTTGATACCTATGAGGAAAAGAAAATCATGTTTTTTTCCAATGGATTTGTCATTGTATATATCAACTCTAGGGCAGGCGCATTTCTAGTAGTAGTTGGCCAACACAATGAACTCCATGAGTTTGGCTTTATTTTGTGCGTAGGTAGGTGTGTGTTGGAGGGGCTTTTTGTTTTGTTTTGGCATTTTGGATTTTCATTTGGTGGGGGCTGTTTTGTTTTTGTTTTTTAAGAACATGAACTTGGGTGGGTAGGATCTAGGATGAGTTGTGGTGAATATAATCAAAATATGCTGTATAAAAAGTTATAAAAAAATAAATCAGCTGGGCAGTGGTGGCGCCCGCCTTTAATCCCAGCACTCGGGAGGCAGAGGCAGGCGATCTCTGTGAGTTCGAGGCCGGGCTGGACCGACAGCCTCCAAAACAATACAGAGAAACCCTGTCTCGTAAAACCAAAAAAAATAAAAATAAAAAAATAATAATAAAATAAATCATTTAGTAATGAACAAGCAAAATATTATAGTACTCTTCTGCCAGAGGCATAAACAAAATCACCTAGAACCTACTTTGGCTGGGCATACCGTCACATCTTCAGAAGTCAGGATACTTCTGAAGGGACAAGACACACACTACAGACAGCAAAGGGTGTGTGAGCCCTAACAAATCAAGGAGATTTTTCTACAATGCCAACTTTAATTAAGATTTAAATGGACGCCAGGAATGTTGCACAGGCCTTTAATCCCCCACACACACACAGTTGGGGTATAGGAAAAGGCAGAAACACATGGACCTCTCTGAGTTCAAGGCCAACCTGATCTACATAGCAAGTTCTAGACCAGGCAAGGCACATAGTGAGACCCTATCTTAACAAAAAAGGAAAGGAAAAAATGTTTACTATAATAAATTATTTTACACCAAACAAACATAGAATAAACCTCGTTATTTTTAAGAATGAAATCTCTAGGCTAAAAGTAATTATCTAGCATGACAGGTCAGCTCGTCACCTGTAGACGAACTTGTATTAGAGAACAATCTGGGAAATTCTTTCCTTCCCTACTTCTTCTCTCCTGCCCTCTCCTCTCCTTTCTCTTCAGTTCTATGATCTCCTAGAATGGAAAACTGGCTGTTGCCCTTGACTTGAGATCACTATTGCTTTGATGGCTTATGCCAGTGACAGCAAGGCTGGTACAACTCTTGTACCAACCAGTGTAAGGACATATTTCTCCAGGGAGATCTTGGCCAAATGAGATCCACTTCTAGTCCATGAGAGCTGAATGCTCAATGCTGAATATCTTGAATTTTGAATAAATGGTTTAACAACAATGAGAACAAATTCACTTTATAAATATAATCACCTGACTGAACTTTGAATTGTCTAAGGTCACAGATTTCAAAATAGCTAAAGTTTGAAACAGGAGGGGGCTGCTGTAATCACAGAGTCTGTCTTTTCCCATTTCTCTCATTCTGGACCTGTGAATAAATAGTCAGTTTCCAAACCATTTTCTTACTTTTTATAGTTAGAGCCTTAGAGAACTATAAAATTATTTATTCTGGTACTTTTTCAATTTAATGAGATCCCCAACCTTTAGTCTTAGTTACTCAAGAAGAAAATACAAAAACTGCCCATAGCTAAACACTGAACTGAACTCATGGAACCAGTGACAGAGAGGGAGGACTGATGAGCAAAGGGGTCAAGACTGGGCTGGTTTAACCCACAGAAACAGCTGACCTGAACAAGGGGGAGCTCATGGGCCCCAGACTGATGGCTGAGAGGCCAGCATGGGACTGATCCAGACCCCCTGAATGTGGGTATCAGTGAGGAGACCTAAGCAATCTGTGGGGCATTGGGTAGTAGAGCAGTATTTATCCCTGGCGTACAAATGGACTTTGGGTGCCCAGTCCACAATGAGGTATGCTCTCTCAGCCTGAACTCTTGGGGGAGGGCCTAGGCCCTGACCTGAATGAAATGACAGACTCTGGATATCCTCCATGGAGGTCCTCACCCTCCCTGGGGAACGGAGTGGGGACTGGGTTGGGGGGCTGGGGAGTTGGTGTGGGGGGCGTGGGAGGAGGGGGGGAGAGAGATGGGACTGACATGTGAAGCAACATTGTTTCCAATTTAAATAAAAATTTAAAAAAGATAATATAATCAAAGCTAAGAAAGACCAGTTTACATATGAAAATCAGTTCCATGTATAACAATCAGATTAACTTTTTTGGTTAATTGCAACTTTCAGAAAAGGACCAGGGCTACAATAAATATCACTTTATTGATACTTTATAAAATTAATAAATAATAAATCAGAAAAAATACAAAAATGTAAACATGGAAGGAAGGGGCCGCTGGGGTAAAGATCTGGGTTCTCAAGAGACCAGAATACTTACAAGGCATTGCATGGTATATGCTTGGCCAGTACTGTCCACTGTCCCTCTTTAACCAAACACGAACTGTCCTACAACAAAGGGAAATGTATACATGAAGTCACAGCATTTAGAGTCATGCAAAGATAGTAACACACAGAAATTAAACCTTTTAACATATATGTACAGATTCATGACAGGTATAATGAATAGAGATGCAAACTACATGAGCCTAGCTAAAAATCCTGTATTCTTCACAGTTTAAAAAATAGTTTTATAAATTCTTTGAAGATTCCATACAATGTATTTATATTACTTAAATCTAAGGGTGCTGTGCATTCACAAATACATAACCCTTGAAATGCCAACCTCACATACGAATGCATACATCTGTCATGAGAGCTTTTGAAAATTGTTTTTACTTTACTGTTTTGTCTTTCCAAGTGTCTGGCCTTTGCACTAGTGACCTGGAAACAGCCACTGTTCTAAGGAATCATAGGTTTTTACTAGTGAACCACAGAGAAACCACTCTGTGAACAAAGTGCAGAACTGACATAAAATAATATTTTACATGTGACAGGAAAATGATAAAACAGTTAAGTTCACATCTTATAAGCCAGGCCTTTATCTCAAGAAACAGGTTTTCCAAGTACACATGCATGTGTACACACACACACACACACACACACACACACACACACACACACACAAATAAAACACTTTTTAACTTAAAGAATCAATACAGGAGTGATAGCCTAGAAGATGCTGGGGTAAAACACTAAAAAATCATTCCCTCTACCAGATCAATTACTGAGTTGACAAGAACTATTAACATCAATTATTTCAAATTCTGAGGTCTACTAAATAATGTTTTCAGTACCCGGAGAAGTACTGAACTAAAAACAAAAACAAAAACAAAAACAAAGTGGGGGGTGGGGGTGGCACTGAATTCCAGAAGTCAGTAACTTCCAACATCCAGGCTCCTTCCATCTGGCAGGTAGCCATGGAGAATGGCTCATTTCCTAGAGTGGCAGTTGGAGTGAGGACAGAGACACGTCCTCTACAATGTAAAGATGTGTTCTGATTTACCTGATGGTTCAGTGAGTGACCAAAACAGAGGCTGACCGTTGACTCAACCCTCTTAGGGCTGAAGGGCTTCCTTAAAGAAATGAATGACGGAAACATTTCTTTTCCTTATTGGGCCCAGATTGTTGTCTGATCTCAGAGACAGCAGAAGAGTTTTCAATGATTATACACAGGGAACACAGTTCTTGTAAAAATCACAAAATGAGGAAGACATCTATGCTCTAGAGTATCTGACTCCTAGGTTACTGCATTCTTATCTGCTCTCAACAGGAAACTGTGAAGCACACGATGAAATAGAAAGTATGGATAGACAATCTCAAGGTGGGGGAGGGGCTGGGCAAAATTGATAGAAATTATCCAGAAAGAAGTCTGAGCACTGGCCCTACTAGCGGACTGCCTAGGAACTCACAGACAACAAAATAAAACCAGAATGGGAATGTATGACTGAACTGGGAATATTACTTCTGATGAATATTCTATAAGAAACTTCAGTTGAAATATTGCAGAGTACAGTAAGTGAAACAAAACCACCAGAGAAACAAACAAGCAAGCAAATAAAAAACAAGCAAACGAGAAACAAAAACAAAAGACTAGAGAGGTCCTGCAGGAATCTGAGCAGACCAACCAGGCAACCCTGAAGCCAGGATAACTGAAGCCAAATGAGAAGCTGGAACTGAAAAGAATAACTGGCAAAAACAAGACAAACAACAACAAAACCACAGCCGAAGAAGAGAGCTGTACGGCGTCATTTAAGTTATCAACATACAAATATGTGAGTCCTGCAAGAAGAGAAAGGTATAGAAAAGTATTTCAGAAAAAAAAAACACAGGAAAAAAATTACCAAATTTGATGAGAGACATACACATCCAAGAAACTCAAAGAACTCCAAGAAGATAGACTGAATTAAAATCAAATCATCAAATGGCAAGGAGAAAAATCTCAAAGGCAGGGAGAGAAAAACAACTCATTGCGTACAATAGGGCAGCAGTAATCAATTTCTCACAGAAGCAGGGGGCAGAAAGAGGTGAGGTGCTAAATGAAACAACCATCAACCAAGAACTATCTGCTGACCCAGCCAGCAAAAACAAAAGAAAGTCTAAGTGGGAGCCTCCAGATCAATGCATCTTTGAACCCTAATTGAAGCTTCTATTGGCAATAGATGGTGATTAACATAAGGGCCCAAAGCTGACTAAAGCCCAAGTGTAAGCAACTACTTAGCCCTAATGGGAATTTATTACACACACACACACACACACACACACACACACACACACACACACACCCCAAGGCTCAGGGATCATTGCAGAACAGGGAGCGGAGTGTAAGAGCCAGAAGATAAAGGATGACTACAGAGAAACATCTCAGGACACAGCAGAACAGCTGCACTGTCAATTCACAGAGATTGTGACACCAGGTACAAGACCTGTGCCAGACCAAAGACCAGCATGGAGAGGTAGGGTGAACACACAACTCCACCCCTAGTAGTGAAGCAAATGGCAATTGTTAGGTTCCGGGAGAGGAAGAGACAATTTTCTAAGAGTACATCTCCTGATAAGTTGACCATGCTCCAGCAGAAGACAACATAGACAAGAATAGTTGAGCAGAACAAACTGGTCTTCAAGGGGTTTGTTTTGTTTTGTTTAAAAAAGAGGGCACAAATTTCAGTGGGTAGATAAAGGTAGATCTGGAAAGAGGAGGGCAAATATGATCAAAAGCATTGTATAAAACCAAAAGCTCTCAAAGGACTAATAAACTTGAAACCTTAAAACCCAATCCTTCACATAAATGAAGGAAAACATTACCAAAGCCAGGCAAATATATCATTAAAAAATCTCAAGTCTATATTTCTTATGAATATAGATGCCAAGTTTCTCAACAAAACACTGGCAAATCAAAAACAACAAGACCATACGTCATGACCAGGTGGGCCTTACTCCGAGATGCAAGGGTCATTTAGAATGAGAAAGTGAATCCATATAGCACAGTTTATCAGTAAAATAGAACATCTATAATCATCTAATTCAGTTACTTTCAACCTTCTGAATACTGTGACCCTTTAATATAGTTCCTTATGTTGTGGTGTTCCCCAACCATAAAATTTTCATTAATACTTCATAACTCTAATTTTGCTACCATTATGAATCTTAATGTAAATATCTGTGTTTTCCCATGGTCTTAGTCAACTCTCAGGAGACACCACCCACAGGTTGAGAGCAGTTGATCTAACTGGGATGCATTTGACTAAATTCAATTTTTCATGACAAAGAGTATGCTTTAAGCAGAAGTTTTCCTTAATGGTGCAGGGCATCTATTAGTTACTTTCCTCCAAAACTAAAGAAGCAACTTAAGCGTGGTTTTATTTTGGCTTCCAGTTTGAAGATACAGTTCAGCATATCGAGGAAGGCATGGTGACTGGTCAGATGACTGCATAGCACAGACCAGAGGGACAAATGTTGCTAAGCAGCTGGCTTTCTCCTCCTTCCCGTTTTATCCAGCTCAGAACCCCGTCTACAGGATGCAGTCATTCTCATTCAGGGTGAGTCTTCCTCTCTGAAATTCTCTTTGGAAATGCTGGTACAAACATGCCCCTGTCTCCTAGATTCCAAACCAGTCAGGCTGACAATGAACCACACAAAGTATTCACTGAAAATTCACACTAACAGCACACTCACTGGTTAAAGAATGAAAGCTTCCGAAAAAAAATCAGGGAGAAGGAACAATATGCCCCTTCTTTTTTCAACTACTGCCAGCACAAATTGGGTAACTATACAGATAAATAAAAGGTGCAATGGTTAATGTTAATTGTCAGGCTGACTGACCCCATCACAAAAGCTCAGGTCCTACACTGAATAAAAGCAGAAAAAAGGGTTCATCTGTTTCCTAGTTGCAGACACAATGTGACCAGCTACCTCATACACCTGCCTCCTTGTCTTCCACACCTTGATGGACTCTATCATCTCAAACTGTGCACCAACCTTCCTCCTTAAGCTGCTTCCTGTAAAAAATTTACTCACGGTCAGCAAAAGTCACTAGTGAAGGCATCTAAATTGGAAAAGGAGTAAACTAACTCCCATCTGTACTGGTTCCTACTCCCGCCCCATCCCCCTACCCAACACGCCACCCCATGCATGTCTATGCAGTATACTGAAGCTAAGAAATAAATCAAACAAAGTTGCAAGGTTTAAGATTAGAAAACTGGGGCTGGAGAGATGGCTCAGTGGTTAAGAACACTGACTGTTCTTCCAGAGGTCCTGAGTTCAATTCCCAGCAACCACATGGTGTCTCACAACCACCTTGAATGAGATCTGGTGCCCTCTGCTGGCATGCAGGGAGAAGGCTGTATACATAATAAATAAAATATTTAAAAAAAAAGATTAGAAAACTGCCTATACTGCCTATGTTTCTAAAAACATAAGCATTTCTAAAGAAATGCCTGGTCCTCAGTACCTTAACATTCAATCCGCAGAATAACCTATCAAATAGAGCTAGCTCTCTTTACTAAATATTACCTTCCGTCTTTACACTACCCTTGTATTAGACAGCTGAAAATACAATCACATTTTAAAAGCCTGTTTTTTTATCTCCTGTGATGCTATCAGGAGGTGGGGCCTGCATCCTAGAGAGAAGAAGTACAATTTGGATGGGCAGAAATTTCCTGAGTGCAAATTCCACTGTATAAAGCTTATAGAACTTAATGTTCCTGGAAATTATATTTAGCACACACATGTTTTTTATTTTTGGGGGTTTCGGGGGGGTTGGTTTTTTTGTTTTGTTTTTTTATTTTGTTTTGTTTTGTTATTTCGAGACAGGGTTTCCACTGTGTTGTTTTGGAGGTTGTCCTGGAACTCGCTCTGTAGACCAGGCTCAGAGATCCACCTGCCTCTGCCTCCCGAGTGCTGGGATTAAAGGTGTGTGCCACCAATGCCCGGTACACACAGTTTTAACAGTAAGTGAAAAACCTATTTTAAAAAACAAACACTTTTCTTTATCAGAGGAATATCAACTA